AACAAGATGTCATTTGTGAAGAATGTGCCCTCACTGAATTTGCTGGTACCATGATCTTGGATTTCCCAGCCTACAGAATGATGAGCAGTAAATTTGTGTTGTTTATAAATTCCCCAGTCGAAGCATTTTTGGATATGACTTTTTTTCAGCATCAGCTTTGCAGTCCCCAATCAATTTTAGCCTGAGAGTCTCTTACATGTATAATGGATATGTATTTATATGGATGTGTTTGTGCATATGTGTATAAAACATATTGTGCTTGGCAGATGAGCACATAACAAAGGCTTAATATGTGGTTAAATTAAAATAGTCACAGCCTGTTTCCTGCTGTTAGGTCTCAGGTATTGGATTTGCTGTGTGATTTGGAAACAAAGGCCACTCAATGTTGTGGCAAATGCACAGGTTATAACTTAAAAAGTGAGGAGGATAGGCATCACCAAGAGTGGAACAACCTCTTGATGTGAAATATCTCTGCTTTTATTTATTTATTTATTTCTTTTAGACAGAGTCTCATTCCATCGCCAGGCTGGAATGCAATGGCACTATCTCTGCTCACTGCAACCTCTGACTTCCTGGTTCAAGTGATTCTCCTGCCTCAGCCTCTTGAGTAGCAGGGATTACAGGCACATGCCACCACGCCAAACTAATTTTTGTATTTTTAGTAGAGACAGGGTTTCACCATGTGGGCCAGGATGGTCTCAATCTCCTGACCTTGTGATCTGCCCACCATAGCCTCCTAAAGTGCTGGGATTACAGGCGTGAGCCACCTCCCCCGGCTGAAATATCTCTGCTTCTTATCACCTCATTCCTAGGAGTTATTAGCTGAAGTAGTTAGGGGTGAAGTGGCCTGATATCTGTGCCTAACTTTCAAATGGTTTTCCAAAATAATACACACGTACATGCAGAATAAAGCAAATGTGTCAAAATGTTAACAACTGGTAAATCTAGCAGAAGGGCATATTGTACTATTCTTTCAATTTTTCTGTAAGTTAGAAAATATTTGAAATAATTGGGCAAAAATTAAAGTAAGATTTTTACAATATCAAAAAATATGTGGGGAGGCTGGGTGCAAAGTAGGTACTTATTAGTATATACACAAATTATATGTGGAAATGGTGGTATGGAGAGCTTAGGCTCTTGTTTCACGGTCACCCAATTAGTCTGTAATGGACTTTTTACTTACAGTGAACAATGAATAAGAAACCCAGGTCTCTCTGACTCCTAGTAGTTACTGTTACCGTAGCATCAAGGCAACGTGCACACTACTGTCTTCCCCTTCCCCTTTCAGTCCCCACTCTTGGTCTTTCTTTAGCATCTTTTAAGTAGAGCCAGAAATGTTTATCTTAAACTGATTTCATCCAGAAAATGATGGACTTAGGATGTGGAAAATCTTCTGTGCCTTATTTGAGATCCACACCAAAATGAGATTGCCTAGTGGTAAGGCATTCAGGGTCTGCTACTTCTCTTCATCAAAGGTGGGGAACACATTAGTGGCACATGGAACTGCACAGCCCTGGCTACCCTCTGTTGCTTTTTGGAGTTAAGCAGCAAGCTCAAGGAGTCTTCCCTTTTGCAACTTTTTGCATTTGTAGTTAGATAGGGAAGAAAGCATAATGAGTAGGAGGACTGTAAGCTTTAGAGACAAAGGAAATTGTGTCCAAACCTACCTTTTCATTTACCAGCTGTGGAAGCTTTGTGAGACACTTATTGTTTCAGTGGTTAGTTGTCTAATTGGAAGAAGGATAATAATAGTAGCCACTTTGTGGTGTATTGGATAATCAGAGATAATGTCTATAAGGTATATGGCATGAATGGTAGCTAATAAGGTTATTTTGAAAATACTCCTAAGTCTCTTTAGTGCAGGAGTTTATCAGCACAGCACATCCTCATCCATTCTCAGTCTGTATCAAATATTCAATGTGGCCTCCACCACATTTACTGCTTTGAGAATAAAAAAACATTCAAGCTGAGGTTATTTTTCTCTTCCACATGTGGTTTCTCATAGTTCTACATGTGTGGCTTGGTTTTTGGATTCCACCCAGTCATTATGCAACATCCTGATGTTCCAAAGATGCTGTGTTGGAGAGAGAGGTACACTTAGAACAGAAACCAGTATCAGAGTCAAACCCTTGGTGCTAGCAAGAGATGAACTTGACCAGATGTTCCCCAACCTCCCACAGGCTGTGACTCACAGGTGGCCCTTGGTGCTGTGTGCAGCAGCTCGGAGGATAATCTGTTCTCCCAACTGAGTTCTCCATCATGGTTAGGTCAGAGCCCTGGTGTGGCCCCAAATTTACGAGCTCCTGGCAAGAGTGAGGGCAGATGGAGAAAATGTCAACTTCAGCTTTTGTGAGAGGATCAGGAATTACCTTTAGGAATTCTCACTGACATGAATTATTAGGGAGTTCTATCCTTCTGAACCCTTTCTTCCATGAATCTCTCCTTGGCTGCTGACTTCTTTCCTTTCGTCTTTTCTTATTCCCCCTTACAATCACTAACTATGCCTATGGATCAAACCCTTATTCTTGACATCCTCTGCTCTTGATATTAGTTAGAAGTTTCTTCTTTTGTCTACCATCCTGAACAGTTTGAAATTCCACATGGTCATGCACATTCCCTGTTAATGACACAACTCAGAATATGGGATTGCATCACTCAGAGAGCTTGCAAATTGAAGTTGTCTTAGCTTTTTCTTCCTCAGTGGTCTTTATCATGGTCTTGTACCAAGTGAATTGCATTTCTTGGCTGTGCCTTTCAATGCTAATGAAATGTCTTTTGTATTGAATGATATGTCTTGCCATGCATTTCTTAACCCTTGGTCCAAAAAACAAAAAAAAGAAATTAAAAAAAAAGCGTTTATAGGAACAGAAAACCAAACACTGCATGTTCTCACTCATAAGTGGGAGTTGAACAATGAGAACACATGGACACAGGGAGGGGAACATCACACACCAGGGCCTTTTGGGGGTTGAGGCGCTGGGGGGCTGGGGAGGAATATCTAATGTAGATGACAGGTTGATGGGTGCAGCAAACTACCATGACATGTGTATACCTATGTAACAAACCTGCATGTTCTGCACATGTATCCCAGAACTTAAAGTATAATAAAAAAAAGCGTTAAATGGCTGAGCACGGTAGCTCAGGCCTGTAATCCCTGCACTTTGGGAGGCTGAGGCGGGCGGATCACCTGAGGTCAGGAGTTCGAGACCAGACTGATCAACATGGTGAAATCCTGTCTCTACTACAAATACAAAATTAGCCAGGCGTGGTGGCACATGCCTGTAATCCCACCTGCTCAGGAGGCTAAGGCAGGAGAATTGCTTGAACCTGGAGGTGGAGGTTGCAGTGAGCTGAGATCATGCCATTGTACTTTTAGCCTGGGCAACAAGAGCAAAACTGCATCTCAAAAAAAAGTGTTTAATGTGAGTTGCTTGTCTTTAGATAGAAAATAAATGAAATATCCTAGTATATGAACCATAAAAGGTTCAGATTAAGCAGAATTTATTTTCCACAGAATTCTTTAGAAATGGTCCTTTTCCACTGCTAGCCTTTTTGGTGTATGACTCCCCAGCCTCTGTTCTAGCCAACAGCTGCTGACAATTTAGCAATGAATCTCCCCTTTAATTAATTAATTGGAGTCCACATGGAGGAGGTCTGTATTTACTATGTCAAGATTTTGACAAAAGCATGCATGCAGGGGAATCAGGCATGCACAGAAAATCCAATTTCTTTCCAATAACATTCAAATAGTAATAAGAAAGCTGCCTGCAAGCAACATGCAACTGCCTTTACATAGACAATACATGTGTCATTTTTTTTTGAAAAAGAGAGGCATGCTTTCATTACTAGAATAAACATAATAGTACAATAAGATCAAGATCAGAAGAATATGTTTAGGAAAGAAAAACAAAGTTCATTAATTCAAGAATTGGAATAACTGAGAGCTTTTAGAGAATGAGAATCAGAGAGGAGAGGGGAGAGTTCCCATTCTTCCCAATAAAAGCAGAAACATACGCAGAGGATATGTCTTGCTCCAGAAGTGCTATTAACAGGGGACAGTTTTGCTGACAGAGAGTGAAGGACAGTGAGGGAGGAGGAAGGGTAGAAGGCCCACTTCCTGACGTATTCTAAGGCCTGTGGAATGTGGGAAAGTGGACACATGAGTCTGAAAAGACCACAGGGGATGGGGGTTCCTCCTGTAAAAGCCAGATCTCAGTGAAGATGGGCAGCAAAAGGTGTGTCCCGTGAGGAAGTTCAAGATACATGAGTGTTTGTTTAGATGGAAAGGGCTACACCATGGGATGCATTTTATTATTTGCCACATTTTGCCTGTGTGTATGCATATATATTCATATGCACATTATTCTAACTTTTATCAATTTCCTGCTTTTTTGTTGTTTAAAAAAATCAAGTTTCCATGACCTCAAAACATAGCAAGTCTCTTTTACCAAAGTGATTTTTTTTTTTACTTTAAAATAGCTGAATTAAAATGAACAAACTGGCCAGGCATGGTGGCTCATGCCTGTAATCCTAACACTTCAGGAGGCTGAGGTGAGAATATCATTTGAGTCTAGGCATATGTGACTGCAGTTAGCTACAATTGCACCACTGCACTCCAGCCTGGGTGACAGAGCAAGACCCTGTCTCTATAAAAAAAAAAAAGAAGAAGAAAGGAAAAAAGGTAACTGAATGTAGCACAAAAACTCTGGATGAATGATATATACATATGAATGACATGTAATCCATATATTCATGTGTGTAGTATATAGTATATATATATTTTTACTATATATTACCTATATATAAACTACTATGTATATATACAAAATACTATTATGTATATAGCATATATAATATATAGCAATATATTACTATATATTACCTACATATACTATACGTTATATAGTATATATTTTCTACTATATGTTACACATATGAATATATGGATTACGTATTATTCATCTGTATATACTATATATAGTATACCTATAAATATATACTATATATTATACCTATAAATATATGGATTGGATAGATATGAATGTAAATATCTATAAGAAACATGCAGCTGCATGGACAAAAATCAAAGATGGGAGTCAGGAAGTCGATGGAGTTGTGTAACACCTATCTAGAGTGTCAGGCTTTGATAATGACATGGTTTCTAGTTTTTTGTAATCTTTAGTCACCAGTGTCAAAGAGTGCTAGTCTCAGGACCCCTCTGGGACATCTTCCTTTCACAGGGAGTCAGGAGTCATATTCCTGTCAGGATGTTTTGGGTACAGCCCCAGTGGGTGGGTGGAGGGGCTTTTGTCTTTTTCTTCTGCTTCATATATTGTGTTAGAAATGCCACTGCTGACAGTGTTCTTTCTCGGCAGTTTCCATGCCACAGAATGTGCTGAAGTCGTCTGGCAGCTTCCATGATGAGGGTAATCAGGCTGGCAGGCACCAGCCCTCATGCACCTGCACTTGGCTCCCGCGCAGAGCGGTGGATGGGTAGAGGGAGGGCTCCACCACAGCGCTTCACCCTGATCCTCCCTCCCTCCCTCCCTCTCTGCTGGCTCAGGACTGATTTCTTCCTGCAGAGAAGTGTGCAGCAAGGGACTTGGGCAGACAGGGTGAGAGGCAGAGTCTTTGCTTACCTGGAGGTTGCCTCCTAATGTACTGGGCTCCTGGGAGTGCATGAAGGCTTCTTAGATGAAGAGTAATGGGAATGTCTTACACAGCAAGATGAGAAAACACAGACCACTTGGCTCTCTAGCAAGGACCAGAATTTGAGTCAAAACTATATGGTAAGAAGCAACTTTTGTGTGTGGGACTAATGTCTATCTCAGGAAATGTTCTCAGAAGCATCACCAAACATTTATTCCAAAAAGGGAGCTAAGTTGTGGCTTGAAACATAAAGGCAGTTTGTTAAATGTAACAAGTAGTTATTGAGTATATTGAGTGTTGTCTGGTCCTAGACACTGCTAGGGGCAAGGGAATCCTTAAGGAAAGACTAATTAGTGCCTTTTCTAACAAACAATCCATGAAAAATGTTTAAGAAACAAGTGCTTAGTTTCTATTGTTACAGAAAATACATGCAATAAGAACTAAGAGGAGAATTTGTTAGCTGAGGGCTGGGACTTGGGAAAGGTTCCCCAAATGGCATGGGTTGGATGCTGGATCTGGAAGGAAAGTCAGGATTTACACATTGGGAAAAGGAAAGGTCATGAAAAAATGCATTGGTTTTAAATTCTAGCCCATGTCAGATTTTGATGTAATTAGGAATCAGTGTTAAATTCTGTTTTGTAAGTGCTAAGTCACAGGGTGTTTTCACCAAAATACGATGGGAGGGGAGAGAACTAGGGACTGCTTGAGAATACATTTTCATCCATGTAAAGCTCATATGGTAGGAGGAAACATAGTGTGTGTGCATGTGTGTGTGTGAGAGAGAGACAGAGGAAAAGAAGGAAAGGAGGACAAGGAGGAAGATGAAAAACAGAGACAGAGACAGGGAGAGGAAGGGGGTGGGAGGAGTGGGGAGGAGGCCTAATTACTCCAAACACATAGAATTAAGTCTTGAGATTTTAAGAGTTGAGACATTGTTATTCTCAGAAGGCCTAGGACAGTGTTGTACCAGTGTTTTACACATGTGATCCCACTGATTAACAGCTGGAAGGAAGCCCAGATAAAGGTGCTTATGCTGGGCTGTAGCTAGGAGAAAGGCGAAGGAAGAAGAATGAGGACACCTGCCTCAGTATGAATGGCATTATGTGCCCTCCTTTGGTTCCAGAACTATTTTTTAACCACCTATATATTGCTTTGTATTAGTCAGAATTTTATAAAAGTTAATTTAGCCATTTTTATTGTGTTCCAATAAATAGTACTTTCCTCTATTAAAAACACTGCAGAATAAGCTATCTGGTATAGGAATACTTGTGTTCTGTTAAGAAAACTTAAATTTCTCAGCCTCTGTTAAGGTGATGGGTACCTGTAATCATCGTGGCAGGTGAGAAGGCATCCCCTATGTCCTGGCTGCCATGTTTGACTTCTCTCCTTCCATTGCCCTGTGTCTCATGAGCCACCCTATTTTCTTTCTATAGTATCTCACACCTTACCACTCTTCTCCATGCCCATGGCAGCTATCAATGCTAGAAACCCATTGATATGGTTTGGCTGTGTATCCACTCAAATTTCAAATTGCAGCTCTCTTAATTCTCATGTGTCATGGGAGGGACCTGGTGGGAGGTAATTGAATCTTGGGGGTAGGTTTTTCTCATGCTGTTCTCATGATAATGAATAAGTCCCATGAGATCTGACTGATGGTTTTATAAAGGGGAGTTCCCCTGCACAGGCTCTCTTGCCTGCCACCATGTAAGACGTGGCTTTGCTCCTCCTTTGCCTTCTGCCATGATTGTGAGGCCTCCCCAGCCATGTGCAACTGGGAGTCTATTAAACCTCATTTTATTTATAAATTACCCAGTCTCGGGATTGTCTTTATTATCAGTGTGGTGATGGACTAATACACCCTTGCCTTTCCAGCATAGCCTCATTATTGCAAACACCACCATTTGGGCATCAAGGTAGGAGCTGGGATTGCAACTGTGCAAGAGAAACAGCCCCTGCTTTTCAGTTGCTCACAGTCTAGTTAAGGAGCAGCACAAGCAAGCTGACAATGGAAATACGATTTTAGAGCAAAGAAGTCAGGATGTTTTTAGTATGTGAGAGGGCTACCCACCCCAGGGAGGGGGTAGGGGTGATTTTCTGAAGAAGGAAGCAATGCCAAAGCTAGTCAGAGAAAGCAGAGTGGGAAGGGAGTGACCTGTGCAATGGTTTGCAGGTATGAGGGAGCATGGCAAATGTAGGGAACTGCAAGGCATCCTGAGTTACAATGAGACAGTAGCTAAGCAAGTGGACAGCATCAAGTTGTGATGGGTCTGTGTTTCATCCGCTTGCCATTTAGTCATTTCTATAATCAGGGCTTTGAGTATTCACCATGCACAAAGCAAGACATTAAGGACTGTATGTTTAAGAAAACCGAAAAATACGTCAAAAATGTGTTAATGAAAGAGACCACGGGTGTGGTGTAGTAAGAAGCTGGATGCAGAGAGGGGAAAAGCATTGATACTGGACTAATGTCCTGACCAGGGTTGTCCTCATGCCTCTGCTCTCCCCAGTCCCTGCTGCAGAGCACAGCTGCAGTGACACTGGGCAACTAAATATCAAGTTAACTTGACTCTAAAAATATAAATGTAGGAAGGATGATGGGGTATTCAGCAGTGAGGAAATGAGTCAGGGACTAAGTAGAAGCAAGCTAGATGGTTAAGCAATTTTCTTAAATGGTATATGAAAGGAGAATCTTGAAAAGGAATGGGTTTAGACTTTATATTCAGAACTTATAAAAATGCGGGGCAACATGCACTCAGCAGGGCATTAGTGCATTAGGAGCCATAATCTAGTTGAGTTTCTACAAAGTAACTCCACGCAAGAAATGAAAAATGAGGGTGTTCAATTTCTGTAGAATCAATTTTTTGAAAAAAAAAATGTAGTGAATAATGGATGCAACAGAATGGAATAATTGAATAATACAATGGGAAGGAATTAGGAGCAAAACAGGGAAAAGTAAGTTCTCAAAGATAGTCTGATCCATGGCAAAGGGTTATACACTACTATTTAGCAGTAAAGATACTTTGGAGCCAGGGAAAAGAATATGAGAAATAAAAAGTGATTTAAAAAATCTAGAAATGTGAAATATAACACTTGCACCATGCAATATTGAAAAGACAGAGCAAAATTAAAATAATATATAAATGCTGACAGTTTCCACTCGTTTTTAAAGCCATGTTTCCTGGCTGAATGCGGTTATAATACCAGCATTTGGGGAGGCTGAAGCAGGAGGATTACTTGAGCCGAGGAGTTTGAGACCAGCATGGGCATGATGGCAAGACCCCGCTTCTACAAAAAAAACAAAACAAACAAACAAAAAACATGTTTCCTCAGGCTGACTCCCAAACTCCTGCCACTTCCTGGTGGCTCTCACTCAACTCCTTTTGGGGAGACACTGGGCACCACTAACCTCTTGTGTACCTCTCTCTTCAGGCAGTTTGGAGGTCTCTTTCTCTGTATTCACTGCTCCAGCTGTTCAGCTGGATGAGCTTCTGTTAAATTTCATCTCTTGTATCAGGTTCTTGGAAATCTGGGATAACAGTGTCTGCTCTTAAGATAGGATGGCCAAGGTTCTAGAGAAAAATGATGAATAAAGCAAATGAAGGGAAAAATAAACTCTGAAAAGAGATGTGTTCATTTTCTTCTGGGAACTGTATTCTAGGGCCAACAAAGTCTCTTACCCTTTGACCTTTTCCCTTGGATGATTTCTCTACCTCAGGGATCCTCTAAGAGTGGTTTGTGGACCAGCAGTGTCAGTATTGCTTGGGAACTTACTAGAAATACAGATTTTCGAGCCCCACTCCAGATCTACTGAATCAGAAAGTGATTCTGGGTGAGGCCTAAACCCTGTGTTTAGAGGAGCTATCCAGCTGATTCCAATGCACATCCAGGCTTAGAACCACTGCCATCTTTTGGTCCAGTTTATCCTCAGGATTTATTCCTCAAGGAAGTCCAGCCAAGAGCTAGGTGCTTCCACATACGATGTCTTTCTTAGTCCCGGAAACAGTCTTACAGAATAGTTCGTGTTACTTGCCATTTCTATAGAAGACTAAACTGAAGCTCAATTAGATAAAAAGTACTTGCCCAAGGTCACAGTGATACCAAGTATAAAAGCTGCAGTTTGAGTCTGGGTCTGGTCTCATTCCACAGCCCAGGTTCTTTCATGTTGTTGTTATCTCAGAACATCACAACCTTTTCTAACCCAACTTTTCATACTTCCAATCAACCGTTCCTCCTTTGAAGTCTACTGTATCCTCTCTAAAATATATATCAGTATTTGTTCCCTCTCCAGTATCTCCTGAGAGAGAGAGAGAGAGAGAAAGGGAGAAAGAGACAGAGGCTCCTTTCCAAGGCTAACCCTTCCAATGTGTTGCCCTTGGCCATGACTCTGGAACTTTACTCCTTTCTCTTCCATCTTTCTGCCATTTTATATCTATTCCTGTCATTGATTTTCTTTTCATTAGCCCCTTGTACCCTGTTTATCTCTTCCAAAAATTACCTACTTGTCTGTCCGTCCCTCCTTCCCTTGCCTTTCCTTCCCTTCCCTTCCCTTCCCTTCCCTTCCCTTCCCTTCCCTTCCCTTCCCTTCCCTTCCCTTCCCTTCCCTTCCCTTCCCTTCCCTTCCCTTCCCTTCCCTCCCCTCCCCTCCCCTCCCCTCCCCTCCCCTCCCCTCCCCTCCCCTCCCCTCCCTTCGCTTCCTTCCCTTCCCTCCCTTCCTTCTTGCCTTTCTCTTTTTGTCTCCCTCCCTTCCTTCCTTCTTTCCTTTCAGTTTTTATCACCAGATGCCCCTGTCTATCCTTCTTATTTTATATTTTCTCACTGAGAACTCACCTCTTCCCAGGATCTCTCTTTAGATGAATTCCAGACCTCTCTCTCCCATCCTGGCCTCTTTCCTAAGCCTCAGACCTATGGCTCAAGCTTCTTCCTGGGTGTCTTATTCAACCTCAGGTTAACAAGCCTAAAACAGAGTTGTTGTCTTTTTCTCCAATCTGTTTTCTATCTTTTAATGATGCCATTCTCCATCCAGTCTGCCTGGAGAGAAAATTTGGCCTTTTCTCTATTCTCTTTCCTCTCTCTTTCACACTCTGTATCTTATCAGTCTTTGTGATCTGATAATTTCTTAAGATAGTCCTCAGATCTCGTC